CGCATAGGCTTTTATGCCTGCTATTTTTATGTGAGCCGTTAGCATTCTCTTCGTTGAGAGCGGTCTGTTTGTGGGGTATTTTCCCGCGTCTTTTGAGATGTGGAATTTCGCATCAAACAAGGGGGACTGGGTTTCGATGGACTTTTGGTCCTTCTTCCCTTTGTCCTTGTTTTCCTTGGGTACTTTGGTGTATTTCCCCAAGGCGTCTTTTCTTGGTGCTTCCACCAAGGCTTCGGCAACTTTTTCATCTGCCATGTTTTCTAACTGGTGTGCTACAGCCAGTTTGATTTTGTAATTTATGTCGTTGTGATCGACGACTGACATTGGGCCCATCCTTATGGTCCCGACGTTGACTTCCTCACCCTCTGAGTCAGGTGAGTATTGAGGTCCTTCATATGGGTCCTCTACTTCGAAGCTTGATGCTTCGGAGTTACCAGAGTTGTTCTCTAGTTTCTCATCTGATGAGCCTTTCGACTCTTCATCCGTTGAGTTCGCAATCTCCATGGCAGCTATGCGCCTTGGTTTTTCATCGCTCGTTATATTGTGTCTTGGGCAATCTTTCATTTGCCCTATTTTGCTGCATTTGCCGCAAATTGGAACTGACTTTTGGTCAGTTTTCCTCGAGTTTTTCGAGGATGTATCCTCTTTCCATCTGGGTTTCAGCTCTTCCGCCTTCTTTCCTGATGGGAGGGCTCTGCTGCAGCTCGTGGTTGCCGTGGTAGTTGTTCGGGTATAGTAACCTGATTTGTAGGCTGAAGACATCTTCAGCCCGTCAATTATCTTGTCTACACGAGATATTGCTTTTAACATCTCCTCGTTTGAGGAGAAGTCTGCTCTGATTCTATCATGAGCAATCATTTCCCTCTTCCATTCAAGGGGAATGTAGTTTAGGAACCTGGCGTTGAAGGATGCCTGGTCTGGTGGCGTCACCATCTGGGACGCTGCTTTTGACAGTTCTAAGTAGAACTGTTTTAGGCCTTTTTCCACTTCGTATTTGACGTTGCGGTATTTCTTTGTCGCGTTCAACGCGGCGGAGGCTTTGATGAAGGTTCTCATCAATATGTTGAGAACTTCGAGGAACATGCCCTCGTCTCCTCTGAGGAGAGTTTCGTCTCGGAGTCTAATTCCGAGGTCGAACACGGGCCCCCCTAATCCACGAATCAAGCAGTCCAGGTGGACTTCATCAAATTGGGGACCTTTGCATCCTCACAAGGTGAGGAATCCCATGTCAGGGCCCGGCCTCGGACTCGGAGGCTCCCTGACCTCAACCCCCATCTAACCTGTCCTCACACTATGCAGGGCATGAGATGTATAGTAAAAGAAAGGGAATATATACACTTGCCTATGCGGGGCATGAGATGAGAAGAAGGGTAAAGGTCTCATCTCCCCGCATGGTTGCTATATAAAGGAATGGGTCACATGCCCACAACTATACAGCTCCTAGAGTTGTGTAGTGTGACCCGGAGGGAACATCCAGGTGGCAGTGCCCAGTAAGCGTGGGAACGTTCTGGGGGAGTTGCTCGCCCAGAACTGTGGCTGTGACCCATGGGAACATTCTGGGCGAGCTGCTCGCTCAGAAAGTTCCCACGCTATCCCGTGCGTGCGTGTACACAATGCACAAAGGCAACAACAAGGCAACAGTCAAAGAATAAAAGGGGGTAAAGTAGGTGGGGAGTCCGGGGCACCCTAAGGCAGGGTGCTGAACCCTGACATCCCAGTAGTTCTGTGAACCACTGCCAGAACGATTCCATGTTGTTCTCCCCTGACCATTTCTTGTCAGGGAATGCTGGCCCATTCTTTAGGGCTTCTGGCTTCACTCCTTCTGGGTAGGGAGTGAGTATTCTCACTTCGGCCATTCTTATGGCCTTTTCGTACCATTTCTCCAGGTACTCTTCTTGCTCCCCTGCCTTCGTGGGGTCACTATCCAATGGAGATCTCTCCTTTGGGGGGTTTTTGCTGGGGGAAATCTTCCTCACAGCGTTTCTTTGGTTTCAGGCGAATTCACCTGAAGTTGTATTTGTATTCTCTCATTGTTTTGAGAGGGTGTGAATGAGTTACCTCTCTGTTTGAGAGGTCCATCATAAGTGGACGTTTGGCCGAACCTTTGGTACGTGCCAATTCTCCTCCTAATCTCTGAACGATGCCTTCTTTCGGCATCGTCTTCTCCTATCCTTGGGAGAAGGATCTCCTTAGCGTCTCTGTCGAGTTGCTGATGATATTCCAGTGTGCTTTCACTGGTGGTTCTTTTCGTGAATTTTTCATGAGTTCTATTTATGTCTTGGACTGTGGTCCAGGGGTGTTTATTTGTTTCCTCACTTTTTTGTGAGAAATTTATTTCCTTCAGCAAGTCTGTTTGTTCGCTGATTTTTTCAGTCAATGCATCGATTGCGTTGGCCATTCTTTCTAGAGTTATCTCTAGACGAGCCATACTATTATGGTTCGTTTCCTCGATCTTTTTTTGGATCGAGTTTATCATGTTTATTATGTGCGATTCCTGGTTTTCCAGGAGGAAGTTTGGTTGGGCGAGCAGAGACTCTCCCCAGTTGACATTTCCGCTTCTGGGGGTTCCAGAATGGGTTCTTGGAGTGAACACTCCACGCTCACTTTGTTTAGGCGAGGCCATTGCGGAGGGTGCTTCCCTTTCATAGAGGGGTCTGTTCGCTGGTTTTTCCTTACTTTTACGTAAGGCTTCCTCAGCAAACTCCCTCATTTCAGTTCGCCTCCTCTTCATTATCTCGGAGACCTCCTCCAAGGTTGGCGACCTTGCCTTGTCTGGCATGGTGTGTGGGAGTGTAAACAGCAGAAGTTCTTTTGGAGCTTCCGCGCTCTGGGAGATCCTGCTCTTGGGGTGTATCTTCACGCCTTCTCGGGCTTTCAGCCTGAGAAGAAGTTGATCATCACTTTCCATCCTCCATTCAGACGGAACCTGGAACAAGTCCAGTAGTTTTTTGGATAGCCGACGCGGGGGCTCTTCCCTTTGTTTCCCTTTGTCTGCCTTTGGGGCTTGACTTGGGGACGTGAGGGGGGACTCCAGGGGATAGTGGGGCCCTGGAGTTTCCTGCGACTCTATCCGATCAGCTTTTTGGGCTGATCGTTCGGCGCTTACGTGTTTTTTGCACAAGTCGATCACCTCGTGAGGAGGTGAGGGATCTTCCCCAGCTTGGGTTAGATCAGTATGTTGTGGAGTTCTGGGGGTATTTTGCCCTGCACTTACTCCACGTAAGTTTCTAAAACCTTCAGGGACCAGCCCTGAGGTGGTTGCTAATGCCGGATCATGTTGATCCTCGTTGTCGTCTGACGACGGCTTTTGGTTTGAATCTCCCATGATGGGAGATTGCAGTTTCTTAATAAACCGCTCGTTTCTTTTTAGTGTCGCTGCAGATGCGACCTTGCCCTTGTGGGCATGTTTAGGCGCCATAGGCGCTTCCGAGTCAGATGTTAAGATTGTAGAGTTGTGGGTTGTGTTGTAAAACACACCTCATGCACTTAAAAAAGTGTGAGGTCTTTGGGTAGCTCAGCACACAAGGCCGTAAGTGATACAAGTTTGTGTATTTTACGGTGGTGTGTAAGCAGTTACCCGGAGGTTCCCGCTTGCCCACGTGACTATATGTATCTAATTTACATGTGGCTCAGGGTTCGGGGCTATTGCCCTGACACCAGGGGATGCAGGTACAGTCAACTCCCTCATAACACATACCCATCGGGAGAGGCCACAATGTATGGGTTGTGTGAGAGATGTGTGACTGGCAAGACAAAAAAGTTTCAGTGTGTCTATAGCTTCTATGGATATTAGGGTAGTATGTATGAGGAAAGTAGTCTGTCAAGTTAATAAGATATCTAAAGGAGTGACTCAGTCTCTACAGCGAGAACTAAGATAGATTATCCTAACCTAAAGGAGTGACTAACTACAATGTAAGATAGGAGCTAAATATGAAGTTGGATAAAAGGGACTGACCTCAGTCTCTACAGCGAGAACTGAGGAAAAAAGAAAAGAATTCAAAAAATAAGCATGACTATACTCTAACAGAAGTCACATGCAAATCACGTGACAATAGAGATCGGTTAATGCATGGTGTTCCTCCAACACAAGTGAGTGTCCTTCATGCTTTGCATCTCCATGGCTCATGCCCACTGTCCCAAAGATGCAAGCATCACCTCAGCATTTCAAAAGAAAGGCCGGGTCATTAATTGTCTTTGTGCATTTGTGCAGTCTCAACTGCCTGGAGTGCCTCATGACAAGTAACAGCCAGTTTGTCAGAGTCAGGCATGCCAGAACTGTCTGCATTGATGCAGTCTCCAGTTCTCCTATAACACGCTCCTCATTAACCAGATTTCCAGTATTATCCAAACATTCTTCATCAACCTCTGAAATTGGTTGTAGTGCCTGTAAGTCGGCCTGAAAGGTTTGCTTACTATTTTGGGGATGGTACGTTCCGTTCCCCCGTTCGCCTCAGGCCTCAGGTAGTCCATCTAAATATAAGCTTTAATGTGCTGTATATTCAACGGGGTAGAGGTAAAAGGCTACCGGGCCTTTACAACTACTCCGAGGTATTTACATATCTCGGCGCAAATAAATAAAGAAATAATAGCATCACTATAATGGGAATTATAGCGATGCAACATAATGATATCACTATAATCGGAATTATAGTGAAGTAAGGTTAATCCCTTACACGGCCTCAAGCTTCCGTTTCTGGTCTGAAGTCTCATCTTCAACCCCTTTTTGAGAACGTCGACTTGTTTCATCACAACATGGGAGGGAATGAGTTCAGTGTTGGCAGTCAGGGATTAACACTCAGCATTACCCAACTCAAGGTATGGGTTATTGTACTTGAAGATAGCTATGGGGTATGGGGTATGGGGTATATACTTGAACTTACTGTAAACCAACTTGGGAAATTCAAAAATCTATGGGTTAGAAGAGAGTATGGGTTATGCAGGGTATGTGTTATGAGGGAGTCGACTGTAGCGTATTAGCCATCTACGATGACATAAAGCTATTATAGTGAAGAAAGATCTGGGAGAATGTACAAGGGACAACCCAATGATAACCTGTACGGTAACTTAGTGACATCATTCAGAGTCATGCCCTCACGAAACTTCATTGCCATGCGATCGAAACCTAGAGCGCTGAACGGTTTGACACTGGAAAGTTCACCTTGGATAATGCGGCTCGATGGATCAAGGAAAGGTGGCAGGGAGAATTGGTCAGATTTCCCTGTTGTGGATAAGAAGAGGGTCCAGATAGGGAACAACCGTAAACCCCGCAAAGCGCGTCTCATCGATGAGAATGCGGACCACCCTCTACCAGTATTTGAAGGCACCAAGGTGTGGGCTTCATCAAATGCCAAAGTCAATATGGGAGTATGCTGCGCTTTGAGCTTGAAACGAGGGTTGATCTTCTCTAACACTTGTCGGACGACAGTAGCAAGTTCAACATCCGTGCCTTGTGTATAAAAAAGACATTGTATCAGTCAAGACCATGCTTAGGGAAGTAATGGGGAATACCATTTGTTTTTGTCGTGAATCTCCCGGGCGGTGTTTTCTGTTTTGAAGGAGTCATCGGCCTATTACTTGAATAGAGCTGCCTCGATTGTGAGTGACCTAGCGGCGACACAAAACAGAGACTTGCCTCCTCCGCTCTGACCAATACTTCTTCGTAAAACTGCACACGTAGAGGAGCTTGCTGTCCAAACCGCTGTCCAACTGTCATAAAAAGTCGAAACTGCCCCGCAAGGGATTTAGGATAGCGCATTAATGCCGCTGACTTCTCGGCCGATGAGAGCTTAGAAAAGAAGCGATGATACTTTTTATTGAGTTACGTGGTCCAATGACGTTGGATACCCTCTCGAACAATGCAGTGAGAAATGCGCTGAAACGAGTATCGCTTTCATGCTCTTTAAGGTTAATCCTTGTGAACCAATTCAAGACATCATGGTCAGGAGCCGGATATCCTAAATTGAAACATTAGAATCACACAGAAGAATACGGGAAGAGAATATCACCTTCAGCTCCCCGACGGGGACTACAAAGTGCTTCTTGGAGAACTCGTCGACCATTCGCGATTTCCCCATGCCAGAGGACTGTACGATTGGTAAGAGGCGAGCATATGTATCAGCGATATTTTGTCTCATCATGTACTGGTAAAGAATGTTGGCAGCGTCTCCTCTGTATTCGGAAGACCACGACTTGACTGTCGCTGGAAGGAGGTCGGAAAGGAAGACACAAGCAGGCGACGCTCTACCCACCATCTTCAGATGATTGAGAATCAAGTATCGCTTCAGGGTCGGGAGGACCCGCAGGCTGGACTGTTGGAAGAAGAATTTCTGTAACTATCACAGTTTATCAGAGCCATCCAACGACGCCCGCCTACGGTGCATACCCGAGTTTCGTATCTTCTTGAACGATTGAGCCTTCCATGCTTCCTCTAACCCATCCCCCAACTCCGGATGTTGTGCGATTAAATCACTCAGTGGCGGTAACTTTTTTAAGCCGGGTATTCCGACTGACTGGAGGACAATTTGGTTGAGAAGAAGAGCACAAAAGTCATTTCTGGTGAGTTTCTTGGCATAGTGGCGCGCGAACTCCACGATAAGTGCGTCTTCGTCCAGGACATTGGGATGAACCGCGAGAGTCGTGGGTGCACGCTTAGAGGAGGGCCCACCTGCTGACGGCCCAATCTCCAAATTGGATCTCTTTAGAGCTGACCGATTTGGGAGCGGGACTTGAATTTCGCGACTGCCGTGCGGATGTTGCTGGGGAGGCGTCAAGTCTCCTGAAGATCCGTCGTGGTCTTGGACTTGTACCACGCCGTACTCGTCAGCGCACGTCGCTGGTTCGGCGTCCACTCCCGGATTCCCGAAGGCAGGCTCGGCGACTTCCACCGACGAACCTCCGATGTGCACAGGTCCTAGTGTTCCTGGGGCCAAGGTATCTAATGAAACGGCCCGGGTATACCTACCGCTTCGCAAAGTCGGCATGTTGCAACGCGTTTAGTAGAGTAGGAGGACTTGAGATAGACAGTCCCAAGTCGATCGAGGAATGCGAACTGTTAATGTAATAACTGATGGACGCCGCCTGCTGCGGCATTACCCGCTACTCTTATCGTAGACTAGTCGAACTGCCTTCGGCTGGCTTTGGACATATGATGATGGTAGAACTGAGTGAAATCCGAAGTACAGTGGTACAAATAGAAAGGCAAGCACAGTTACTGATGACGGGACAACAACAATACACGTATAATCGCAAAGTGCGTGCGCGAGAATCGCGCGAATTCCAAGCCCACGATCTTGACAGCCAGAGCCCTGCCTGCCTTACATTTTTTTAGGCTCAATAGGCTTATTCCCACGCACGAATCTTGCACTAAACCTAATAACAATTAGCCATTAAGCCGAAGCACCACCGACGTAATCTCAGGACTTAATTTGTAAATATGCTTCTATTTACGTCACAAATATGGAAATCTGGAATCAAACTCATTTTATGTAAGTTTTCGAGAAAAATTGGGAGTGCACGTGTCAGTGCACTATAGGGCGTTACTAGGATTGCTGTGCTAATACATTCGCAGAGTCGCAGCCCCTCGAAAGCATGCTTACCCAACAAGGCGATCTACAGACTTCTGGACGTCCTCGGAATGCCTTCATTCTCAAGACCCGTTGAGAATGAGATTTCTACGATGCCATTGCTGTGGCTCCTGGCCCTCCTCCGCGGCATATCTGGGGTTGTTAGCCTCAGACAGCTTATTGAGGGTTCGTCCCATGCTCGGCGCTTTGGCGCGGATTTCCGTGATGGACAATGAGCCATGGCCTCGATGTCATGTTGGCGAACTCTAACCTCTTACTGTTCCTGCCCCGAGGTAAAAGTCCTTTACGCGATCCCGAAACATTTCAAGTGGTTTAGAAGCCCACCAGGCCAAGGTCGAGTAGATTCTTGCCTTACAACTATCAACATAATGAGACACCAAATGGGTCCAATTTCATTCGTTGGTTGGGGTTCAGCTTGTCTGGTGGCCTATCAACCAGTCATCTACCAATAAGGATGTGTTAAAACTCTCTTCTCATCTGCCAAACTACCTCGTCAAACACCATTTCAAAGTTCACCGATAAGATCTCCGACAGTTCTTGCGAGCGAGCTATCGCCCTCCCCCTTAGCACTCGTCGTGCGGGCTTCGTCTATCAGCGTGAAACCTTCCTGGAGCACTTCAGGCAATTCCGTGTATCCGCCAACCAGCTTCTCGAGCGTCATTGTGCTCTTTGACAGTCCATACACAGAAACGACATCCACTTTACCCGCTTCGGTATTAGGGATCTTGAGTTTGTAGATGGGAAAGTCCGTCCTCGGATGGAAAATCCTCCACTGATTATTGTATCCTCCAGCTAGAGGGATCTTGTCGGAAGTAGCACGACTGAGAATCTGGTAGATGGCCCCTTTTTCCTCTTCTGAGTTAAGTTGGAGAACGCGTCCTTCAGTGTCTATGACGAAATCGGGAACGAAAAAGGCGGCGACGAGTTGCCGCGGATAAAGATGAGTGGAGCGAATGACGCCAGCTATGAGTGTATCGCTAGAGGGCGTAAAGGTTCCTCGGGACGGGTGGGGATGGGAACGAGTATGCCACCCTGACAACCCTGACATTGGGAACAAGATGTTTCCTCAGATGAGGCAGATCCGCTACAAGATCAGGAATGGCCCGCAATCAGCATCGCAGGGACGACAGAGACAAGTATGAGAGCAACAAGCTGTTTGACTGACAATATTTCCTCTGGGAGGGAGTGACGAAGCGGTGTTAGTTAAGAGAGGTTGTTGGACTCCGTCCTTTAACATTCCCAGAGGGCTCAAGATCGATACCGCTGAGTGTTACTAAAAAAGGGGACTGCGCCCTCCTGTAACTTGCGCTGCCTCACGCGCTGCGGCCGCACCCATCGGTCTGCTTCCCAGCTTTGGCGACACGTGCAAATGCCACACACCGCCACCTCCACGAGTCTTCCCCAAAATGTCAGCTGTAGGAATGTATTTCACCATCAGCACGACTTCCAGCCCATAGGGTGCCCTTAGTTTATGGCACTTTTGTTCCCCTGTAACGGGGTACGGCGAGTCGCCAAGTGGTGTGAGGTGCAATTCCCGTGCCAGAAAGGCTGCGTTTCCCCAAGATCACCTTTGTCCCACTGGCATAGCGCCTATGGATACTGCCGCAAGGCGCTTCGTCTCTTAAGCAACTTCGTATAGACACAGTCATTAACTCTGTATGGGGCCCTTGGGTGCCATCGATCCAAGCACCCGACAGTCAGCTCCTGTGCGAGGTTAACTTGGTTAGTGTCATCATCTGTCGTGCATACTTTCACCATGGGCGCAAGACATCCTAATCGAGTCACCTATTGCTGCATTTACTAGTGCTTGTCGCTTTCGAGGACAAATCCGCGTCTGACAGTCCAGGCTCTCTCTATCTAAAATTACGAAGTCATAGAGGCTGGAGTCATGCCTAGGTCCAGGCGTGAATAGGAGGCCGGGGTGCGCCCGCGCCCCCGCGTCCGGTCTCGCTTCGCCCGCTTCATGGAGGTGAGCGACTCCGCAGTGCAATGACGTTCCCCTGCTAGTGCTGTGGGATTTCTGGATTACGAGGTTCATGCTAGCCACGCTTTGGCTCCTCGTCGCATTGGCACTTGTGTTTGGTGTGGCAATGAAGGAAATCTAATCCCGTTGGCGCAGCCAGATTCAGGGGTGCGAGTGTATCGTGGACGTTATTCGGAAGAGAGCAATTCTACAAGTACCTCGTTCAGTGTTGTCCAGTTAGTGGAACCGTTGACAGCGTAATTACATTAGGCAGAATTTACATAAGTCTCATTCTCAGGCCTAGGGGCCAATGCTTCCCGAGTTAGAATACCCACACGGGTGCTTTCCTGATTACTAGAACTTCTGAGTCCGGCAATACTGCAGGACCCATATGATGTCAACAATTCCAGGGTTGACTTGCATCACTACATCAACATCGACCACTACGTTTGCAACAGCAGGAGTATACGTGAAATCGCACAGATGCCATCCCAAGTGGCGGTCCATAGCTGGTGATGTCCATTGCCTGTTCTCGCTCAAGTAAACGTAAACCACAGTCCACCTGTGAGTGTTCGCTTACCATTAATTGTCGGATATATATCGAAGATGAGGATGAGTCCCGTCTGTCCCAATGGGGACTGATAACATAAAAGTCGCGCCACATGTAGCAGGTAGGCGACCTTCTGCTCAATAGGGTAATAGCTGCAGCTGACCGAGCAATTTATGTGTGTGTGTTACTTTCGATATTTTACGTGCCTGTGAGCAATTTATGTAATGAATTTCGAGGGTACCACAAAAGGTATTCCCCACAGCCGACTCGAACGACTGACCTCGTCATTACTAGTGACGCGCTCTACCAACTGAGCTAGCGGGGAGAACTAACTGCCGTGACTCCTTAAGCCATCCTTGTCAGTACAAGACCTAATCGGGCGAGCCGCCAATACGAATGAAGACTTGCTATCTAGTCGTGCTAAAACATTCTTGCAGAGTCCAAGTAATTAGTTTATGTAGGTGCAATCGTACAATACTGGGCTACATAAGCAAGATACAAATGAATTCCAAGGATACGGGCGCTCTAGTGTTCCAAGAGAGGGATTAGGAGAAACGAAAAACTCCAAGAGTATTCCCAAAACTAGTGATAGAGATCGATGGAGTGACCGACAAAAAGGGACCTGCCCTTGTGAAAGGAATGCGAGGGAAGGTAGAGCTTGTGGAGGCACTGGAGTGCACCTGAGTGGGCATGGAGGCTTCGGGCGGTGGGTGGAAGAATAACTCGGAGACGCTAGATGAACGGGATGTCCTTGGACTTGATGAATCAGCATGTGAGGAAAGTTCAGAAATAGGAGAAACTCGTAAATTCCCATATAGGTCGAGAGACCAGAGCTCCCATCGCTCAAACGGCGACTTGGGCTGTGGCCGGCTGCTTGGCGAGAGTTCGTTCCGACTTGATCTCGGCTGGAAGGCAGGCGGCCGTCTTCGTACTCCAAGAATAAGATTATTGCATACGTCCCAGCTTCCTCTTTCGATGGAAATCTCAGCGACCTTAGTGGCAGTTCGAAGCCGCCGTGAGGAATCGATGGCAGATCCAATGGAGGCCATTGGAAGCGGGACGGGGAAGGTTTGTAAACGTGTAGGAGGTGAAGTTGCCGAGATGAAGGTCATACTGGTTCGACGTGAAATGCTCCCATCTTGAACCACGTTATGTGCATCAAGCATATCATGTCGAAGACATGAACATAACTTCCCTTCAGGAACGCATGGGAGATGGTATATCTTCAGCACTTCCTCCGTTCCCAAGGCAATGACCAGAGTACTATCCCGATCATTTAAACATTTTGCGCATTCCCTGGCAGACAATCCGATGACCCGAATCTGGTCTACTACACTGCACTGAGCCTCAACAACTCCAGCAAGCTCTCGCGAATCCTCTCTGAAGATAAATACTTGGCGATTTTGTGTGATAATGATAAGGATTGGAAAGTTGACATCGCCAACGCGCAGTATTTGAGGATGCACGCTGATGATAGTATCTGTCACACCCAATCCGGCAAGCCGCATGGAGTAGAACGTCATCGACGGCTTGACTCCCTCGCGGGGAGATCTGGGGACAATAGGGGTAGATTCTTTGTGAACATTCGAGCCTGGGGGGACCACAAACGCGGAGCTAAGCTGAGGAATAGCTTCGGCTCCTCTGGAAGGCAACGATGAAGAAAAAAAGTCCCAGATGTACGTTTCCCCATCATCCACTGATATGGCGAGGGTTAATGGCCGTCGGAGGTTTAGTTTCGACTTGGTTCGGTGTGTGAGCACGTTTGGGGTGTATCCAAACCGAACCGAACGAATCCTTCCCGGTAACAGCGCACTAGCTTGAAATAGGACCGAACGAATGAAGATTGACCAGACCGCAAGTATTCCCTCACTACTACCAATAGCGCAGTAGGCGCCAGACGGATCAACAGCGAGGCTCGTTATTTCCCCAAGTGACTGTGAGCGGGAATAAAGAGCGGAGGTAGTATCAAGGGTCAGATGAGATCCATCCTCGAACCATATGGCAAGTTCATTATCGCTGACAGCAGCAATAATAGATGTGTCTTGACTGTAAGCAATCATCGCCACATTTTGAGAACATGCACGCAGCAACGGCGTAAATGAGACATTGCCTTCAACCAGGTTGGTGCGAGGCTTCGAAGGGCGATCGCCATCCTCGCGATGCCCCTGCGCGGCGACCAACTCTGGATCTTTCTGCAAATATCGAAGTAATATGTAGAGCAGGAAATTGGTAGCAACTGAAGGAAATATCACGATCCTCATCAATCGATTGAGTTGGGAAGTCATGCGAGATGCAAAGAAGCGAGGCTGATGACGACGCTCCGCTTGTGGTTGTGAAGTGGAGATGGCTAACTCAATGACAGTAGGAGGCTCGATTTTGACGAAGAGAAGTGGGTCATCCTCAGGGTTGAGGACGTCCCATATCTTCCTGCCTACGACGTCTTGAACGACTTCGGTGGGAGGTGCCGGTCGAGTGCTGTTCATGCGGTGCGCCACAGCCGTAACTCGTGGCTCCATATCATACCTGTCCGGAAATGAATAAGTGGCATAGTACAATGTTGCTGACACAGCCAGCATCTATACCGATCGTCTCAGCAGCAATTTTGAATGGGTGCTGATAATACTGACGAGTAGTAAACTCCCGTTGGTCGCCGCCTCCGATTTCAGGAACTGTTGCACCTTGTTGCGCTTTTTCACGGGGCTGAGGCTGGTGCGCTTCAGACCATTCGCTCCATTAGGTACGGACGGCTTCTTTGAACCCTGATGCAAAAGTTCGCTGAGCTGTCAAAAATGATAAGCTACGACGTTCGAGATCATGTTCATCACACTTACCTCCAGACGGTACAGGTCGATGGCCAATACTGCGACAAACATGGTATGCACCAGAAACCAGTGAGCCACAAGCACAACGATTGCAAAGACACAAAATTGGCGAGTGGCACCATACGCGAAAAAACCGATGGTCCCAAGAATTACATTGCAACCCACAACACGAAAAGTATTGAAAGTTCCAGCATGGGAAAGACCCAAGGCTAGACGCTCTTTAACAGGGAGAGTCACACGGGTTGAAACCACCTTGTCGATCTGGTGGTCCAGTCTCAGTACTAATCACTGTAAGTGCGGTTGGAATGGGTACATGCCAGCGTAAACATGTTTTCAGCACCCACAAGCACAATCACCACAGGTAAAATCCCCCTACCGGAATGGTGCATCAATATGTCAATTCTATATGCACTGGACTACGCACCAAGGTACCATGGTAATATGATAACCCCAAAGAGCGCAAACGCTTACACTGCACAACGTGCTGGCAATGATCTCCACGATCCCGGTTAACGCTAGACCGTAACGCGAATGCACAGTGTCCATACGCTTGAGAGAACCGGAAAAGTGAACGAACACAACGGCATAGGTGATGTACAGCACAACAGCCATTAGAGAAATCCGAGATTTGTCGTCACTGACATCATACTGTGATCATGTCATGATGTGGACAATATTTAGAAAAAGGTGTGAAACGCACCTGAATAGAAAGTAATTTTGGTGCAGAAGAGGATGACTTTATTCTCCCCATCCCAGAGCCCACAGCTTGAAGGCGTTTCAACCAAGCATTGTGCTTTGCCTCGTTCTGACAATCGTCTCCATGGAAGTAATAAGTGAATGTGAGGAAATCAGGGTCCTCGATCTGGTCATCCTCCTGAGGCTGGCCAGAAAGTAATGACTGAGCCGGGACAGGAAGTCCGTCAACCATCGGGACCCTGTTGACACGCCTGAATACCTCATCGGCATCCAGAAATGCAAAGTCTGTAAAATTCCAACTTTTCAACGGGTCCGTAATAAAACATTCTCCGCGGTAGTTCTGAACACAGGGGAGAGAATTTTTTCCGCGTAGAACCTCATCTACGATCCGTCGTTGAAGCGCTGCAGAAGCGGTCAGAACGCTAAGATCTAAGGTACCATATGTCTCGTATGCTCCTTGCACGAATAATCGTTCAATGGACACAGTTCGGTCCATTCCACACCGAGCCAAGAAGGAAGGATCGGATGTTACGCGAAAAGCGTCATGGCCTTCCCATAATTCCCGGACTTGAGGAAAGGTACTTCCATACAGCGACCATATGTCCGTAAGTCCAGTAGAGAAATCTATAAAATTATGGCGTGAAAGATGGATGGCAAGTGCTGGATAGACGAGAATAGTGATCACAAAGCCCGATATAATAAGCACGCGTGTAGTGTTCTTAGCGCAGTGACTGCGGAGCATCGAGCAACGTGGCTAAGGTTTTTGTTTATATGGAGCCGATACTAGGACTCACAGCCCGAACAGGTAAAAGAATCGACTCGTTAAGTGCCTCACTTGAGCTAGAGACACCGTCAGCTTGAGGTTGGGACACATTAGGCCCTTCGAGAGTACTTGCCAATCATAATCAGATATGTTTAGCTGAGATGGTCGGAAGTGACCGCGCGAGCGGTAACAGGAACCGGTAGTACGCTTCAACTTACGCTTAACCTTTTTGAAAACGACCGCCCAGTTTGCTAAATGTGATGAAACAGCTGGAGACGGATGCAATCAGTGGCTGTACGCCGCCCCAAACGTTCCCGGCGCCGATCGTTTCTCAACAAATACAGTGTGGAGATCGGCTTTAATGCCTGGAGCGCTTACCTATTTCTTCCCATCACATGGGGGTGAGGAAATCCAAACGAGTCGGGGATACGGAAGTCACCTAGTCGCACCGTAGTACAAGCCGACATCGCTAAAGGAATGCCCAGGATAGTCAACACAAAGGGCCGTCCAAATAACTCCGCCCCCGACCGCGACGTCGTTAAACTACAGTGGTAAGATACAATGCCAGAGGACAAATACTCAGTACGAAACGAACCGGGATGAAACCATCCCATAATGCCGGCTCTGTCAACCAGGGGGGCTAAAGCTCAGGCGGCGCCAAGGCGAGACTCGCGCTGATCTCGAGCCCAAGGCCGTCTACTACGAGCGTCCAGCCTCCCAAGAGCGGCTGGATCCCACTGGGTAGATCCGCACGATCTAGGATAGTTCCTTGGAACTTCCACATGGCCTACGCGCCGTAGGCTAGGTATCCCACCATAAGAGACTCATAGAGTCACACACAGAGGCGAGCCCTCAAGTCCCACTCACACCCACCCCCTGACGTGGGCGCAGACAACCGCGCTAATATTGAGCCCCCCAACTACACATGGGAGTGGGCAACCCAGGTTGCGCCGTGGAACCTGCTTATGTAAGCATATACTATTGAACAACCACAGAAAAGTGGGACCCAACATCGCCGAAGTTTTGTGCATTCCACAGGACATTTGGTGAAGAATACCATTAGTAAATGTTCTTCATAATCATGTTTAGGGTGTTTTGGTGGTTTTACATATTGTTATTTCTCAATTACAAGGAGTGTTGTTCCAATAAATTCTTCATAACACCACTAATACTGCATCTGCGCAAAATTCCAACCACCAAAACATTATAACTAGCCATTGCATGCCTAGACACCCATAATTATCTTGAAATGTATCACCATTCCCTCCAAAAACTTCGGCGAAAAAATTTATTTACAATTATTTGTTCCGAGCCTACATTTCACATCAAAAAGGAAACTGCGCCTCCCCCCCTCCAATTTTGTCCCTCAGCACACATAGCCTCTGCCAATTTGCTTGAAAATAGGCAGACTGACAACTTTCAGATAATACTACGAGGATCTGAATTTAAATGGGATCGACATCTCGGTCTTCATATAAGAAGAGAAGAAGATCACCAGGCCGTATATCCCACACTCTATTGATCACTGGCTTCTGGGGCAACTCAAAACATTCTAAAGACAAAGAGAATGCTGTAAAAGATTCATATGGCCAGCCAGGGGGGAATACACTACCTGATAGTGGCAAAAAAAAATTGATTGCCCCGGGGCCCACATCCCAACCCCACTATGTGTAGACAATTCTAATCTGAAACGAAAGCTTGGTGCAGCAAGCCGAAAGCTTCACTGCAAGCCGAAAGCTTCATGATAGTGATGCCTTGCATAAAGCTGCGATTTCAAAGGCGGGTCATTATCAAAAGACCACCCGAAATGCAAAGCGGCAACTGGAATGGGCCCTCACTAGCCGGGGGCAGGCCTGGTGAAGACGAACTCATATTGCCCCGGACAAAGGCCCGAAGCCTCAAATCTGGCCCAAGGAAGGCCCATCTTAAACAAATAGTCGATCGATATGTAGATCAGCTGTCTTCTGCTTCATCAGTAGCCACATAGTTTCATACTCACGATCTCGACAAATAATGCATCAAAATAATTTAATTATAGGCTCAAAATACACTATATATGCTTCTCTCATGCAGGTCGCTGCGCAATCCCCAGCATATGCACTGTGGAATGAGGTAGAGGAGCAACAAGTTGCATCCCATCATTTGAGCGGAAAGTGCTTATGTAAGCGTCCCGTGGGCAACCTTTGGTTGCCCACCCCCACTACACAGTTTCCCTACCGCAAAAGGCATCCCCGTAAACCCCGCACACGTGACCCGAACGACAAGCCAATAGTGCCCTGACCACCACGACTTGGAAAAGACCCAACCCCCCAAACACTAGAGTGCTTGCGCTTCGCACTTTGCTTGACTCTGCACAGTGCATGTTTCCTTTCACCTGTCCCAGCATGAATCTATTTCTATTTCGTTTCGCGAATATACTTAGGCTATAAAAATAACTGGTGATCGCCACCTGATGCGGCAGAACCCACCACTCTTTTGCTCGATACAACATGTATTTGGATGAGTACAAAGAGAGGATTAAAAAAGAGGAACAGAAGAATAAAAGTGAGGACCATCCATTATAGATGCTTATGAAGCCAATGTCAAAATATCCTGGTGCAACATATTGGAATGGAGGCAACTAACACTGGAGACGATTGAGAGGGAAAGGGCTTATGATTTGGCCACAGGAGCAGCCATCTACTGTCTCACCCGCTTTTGCCATCAGCAATTAGTTCCCCTAGCAGCACTGGGGTATACGCCCCACTTCGATTTTGGCCCAAAAATGCACCAGTTCATGAACCAGTTGCGTCTGCACAAGTGGACATGCGATTGCATGAGGTTGACATGAAATTGGGGGGGGTTGGTGGTGCTGGAGTGGGCAATTTGAGAGGAAAATCGGCTGGGATGGGCTGGGAGCGCGTCAGAATGGTGCTGGAAGGCCTCATCTCAAACAGATATGAGGCAACGGCCTTCTTGACGTGTTTGAAATGTGAATAGAACTTGTCTAGTCGCTCAATCACAAAACCCCAAGCCAGATGAAAGAGACTCAGCTGAGAACACCCCAATGCCAACCAACAATCGTCATGTGGGTCCACCTCAAAATCGTCCAAGCGGTCAGTTTCACCACATTTGGTCACTCCAACTCCCCTTCCAGCCCCTCAGCACCCTCCAGCGCCGCTGCAATCGCCAATTTCGACATGCTTGCCACTTCCCCCTCCATGTCTGGATGTCCCACCACCCATTCCCTGGTACACCTGGCCGATTTCCATGTGCCCCTCACACACTCTTGGTGCCCCAATCACAGAACGCTAAGTGCCAACAGTGGTCAATGGTAGGCTGTGAGTAGGAGAAGCAATAGTGCTGGGTTGACATCATGTCAGGGCACACCCGCCTCACCTGGCTGTCAGGGACGGCTCGAGGGAGGCAGAGGTAGCAGCGTAGCGCTCGGCGCTAGCGGCCCGGACGGCGGCAGGGCGGTAAGACTGTATAGTGGGCAGCCCTCACTCGGGCTTACGTCCCTGTGTGGCTTCTTAGGCTGAAGTGGGAAATCTATTGTTATTAGGGTGGGAAGCTAGACTAAACTAGGGTACTTGCCTGAAGCGGGAAATGAGAAGAAGGTTACTTCTTCGGTCCTGCTTCGCCTTAGTTTATATACATGTGTGAACGGGTCACGTGGCAGTGCCACGTCACCTTCGGACGAAGCCGGGTTACCGTGGGTGGCTCTGCGGTCGATCCCGAGTGTTGGAGGGGAAGTGCAAGTACAGTAGGAGTGCACAGCACGTCCGGCGTGGCAGTGCCCCTACAGGGTGCTCAGCGTCGGGCACATCCGTGCTACAAGTGTAGTAAAGAAAGAGAGAGATCGTCTGTATAAAGATAGAAAAAGAGAAGAGGGAAAGAAGAGAGAAAAAGAGGATGAGACGAAAGGAAAGGAGGTGGCGGCAGCGTGCCCTGACACTGGCTCCACCCGGCTCCACTCCACCCGCTACCCCCTTCTCCCCCTTCCTATCTCCTCCTCCCTCCACTTCCCCCTCTTCTTATTTCTTCTCTGTCTCATTCTCTATTCTTTCTATTTCTATTTACATGGACGACTTCCCTTGATCAATGTACTACTAACCTGCCCACGACCCATGCATGACACACCCAGCCCCAGATGCTCCAGACGACCCCCGGGTACACCCAGCATGCATGCCTGCAGCGGATCCCTTTGGGATCCCCCATGGGGATACCCGGGTGGCTGGGGCTGTGCATGGGGATGACGTGGCAACTCTCATGTGACCTGAGCACCATGTATATAAACATACCTGGGGTGGGAACCAGAGAAGCAGTCTTCTTCTCACCATTCCCACTTCAGGTAAGTAGCTTAGTTTTCCTTTTAATGATAATTAACACCATTCCCACTTCAGGGATGTCTGCCTGCACCAGACTGTCAGGGACAGCTCTGAAAGCGGCAAGGTCCCGGTGCGAGGGACTCGATGGGACAGGTGTCGGCTATGCATAGTGGCGGTCCCGTTGTGGGGTGAGCGTCCCCGACCACTTAGTCTGAAGTGGGAAGTTGAGAAGAAGGCTGCTTCTTCTGTTCCCACCCCAGGTGCTATTATATACATGCGGTTGGGGTCACGTGGGAGGAGCCACATCATCCCTGCACACAGCCGCACTCCCCTGGGTATCTCCGTGGGAGATCCCGGAGGTGTGCTGCTCTGTGAGTGGGAATGCGCGCGGTGGGCATGGTGATCGGGGGAGCAGGGTTAGGTGTGTAGTAATACATAGAGAAGGGGAAGTCGACCATGGAACGGAAATAGAAAGAAAGAAGGAAAGGGGAAAGAAGAAACAGGGAGTGATAGTGGGGGAGCAGAGTAGGGCGGCGCGGCGTGGGGTCAGGTGGGGTGTGCCCTGACACAGACCCGTTG